CCCAACTAATAGTTGACTGTGTGAAATTAGGAACGAAATAGTCAACCGTTATCTTTCCGTTAACCAGTTAACGGTTTGACTATTTCATTCATAATTTCGCGCAGTCAACTATTAGTTGGGGAATAATTCTGCGCGAGCAATACTTGAGTATTAAAACTGCCGATTTCAAATACTTGGGGAATTAATTGCCCATTTTCCCCAAAGCTGCACACATATTTCATTAGTTTAGTAGTACTAACTTAAGTTATGCTCGAACCAAAATGGAAAAGTTCTCGAATACCGATAAAACTTGATGATTATAGAAACTAAACTTACTTGGTGAGACGACTGTAATCATCCTTGATCACTTTAGGACCATCTTTACGCGTGTGGCTTTATCCGTCGTTTTGTAAATTCATTATCGAACACCGTGCCGTTCACTATGCAAAGAAACGGCATAATCCTAACCCGAAACTCATGATTGAGGACAAGGATAAAGACGCCTCTGATTTGTGAAACGTACAGTCTTTCCTCTCTTCACGTCTCAGATAACTCCCAAATTCGAAATATCTCAAATTTTGTTTATCTTTAAAAAGAAATTAACTCCAAAACAACTGGTCCTGGCTCGTTACAGTGTGTTTATCTGGTGACTGTTTGTGGGTCTGCTTCAGTTATTGTAGAGAGATGGTGTTCTTGAGCTGGGGCCGTCCATCTACCGAGCAACAACAACAAGTAATCAACAAGTAAGATCATCAAAAATCATAAAAAAGAAAATCTTGCAGTAGAAAACTCCCTCTCGCTTTTTGAGTGGATAATTGGTGTGTTGTGATTTCAAAATCTAGAGCAGGAACTTTCAATTATGACACCAAGTACAGAGGGGCTTCGTCTAGATCAGTAGCTAAGCTAAAGGAAGATTCAGAAGTCAATAAAGATGGGTTCTTGATCAATCATTCTCGTGTCTTAGTTGGTTCTGGTAAAGAGAGTTACGACAAGGGGAAACAAGCTCTTCAGAACTGGAAGTATGATTTGCTTTACTTATCTTCATCTCAAATGCAAAGTAACATCAAGAAAATGAATGGATCTCTTTTGTTGCAGGCATTTTGGTATGGATTGGGCATTTGTTGATCCCAAGACACCAGTTGAGACCGGTAAGAAGTTTTGTGTATGTGTGAAAGAAGTTCTTCCATGGGTGATGCTTCCTCTTCAAGTGGCTTATGTTGATGAAAGCAAGAGATCTAGAAGAGGCCCTGCACATTTTGGTTATGGGAGCGGCACTCTTCAGGGACATTTACTAGCTGGAGAAGAGCGGTTTTCGATTGAGCTAGACGGAGATGGTAAAGTGTGGTATGAGATAACGTCCTTGTCAAAGCCAGCTCATTTCTTGTCCTTCCTTGGTTATCCTTATGTGAAGCTAAGGCAGAAGCACTTTGCTCATCATTCTTCTGATGCTGTCCTCAAACATGTTAGTGCTTCATCATCTTGAAACTGACAAGTGAAGATATTTCAGTTGTATAAAACATGTTGCATCTTTTGTTCATTTCCGAAACATTTGGAAGGACTACTCTGCTCAGTTCTCGTGGTTCTTAGGATACAACCATCTTCTAGATTGAACATCTGAATCTCACATTCCTTGTAGGTGAAGTAGATGGATTAGAGTTTAAGAGACAAATAAACTCCTCATCTTTGTTAGACTTAATTGCATATAGTGGAGTCTTTTTGGATTGGTAGTTCTTTCCAAACAAAACTCTAGTAAATTACAAATTTACAAACAAAAATATCTCGGTTATTAGCTGGGTCCCAGATTTTTCACTCGAACCGAACTGAAATCAAACCAATTTTATAAACAAACTGAACCCATCTATATCTATAGAACTAGGTTGTAACCCGCGTGCAGGGTGAAATAGTTTATAGATTATTTAATGTACGTTGTATTTATAGATTTATCGTATATCTTTTTTAGGGAAGATTATTTATAAATACTAGAGACTTTTCCCGGACTACGTTCAGGTTTTTTGTTTATATTATAAATTTTGATGTATTTTTTGTATATATCTCCTATATATTAATCCTGGAACATTACAATATTTTTTAGTAGTCACGTATCATTATGAGAATTATTTTCAAAATTGTTAAATAAATAGCACATATATATGTTTATTATTAAACTAACTAATAAATTAATGAGTAATTTTCAAAAGAATATTTTCTATTATTTTCTTAAACAATAGATATGGACTTACATAATATGATTAACATATATATCCCAATTAATGATTATAAAGAATAAATATTTGATAAGAATTTTTATCCTCTATACTTTTTGTTTGATTTTATATTATGACAAAAAAAAATTATATTAAGCATATAATAAAAATTAGATTTTTTCTTATATGTTATGTTCCAATATTTTTGTGGGAACCGAAATCCACCTACTGTCAATAAATCATAAAAAAAGGAAACTTCGGGAGAACCCTAAGTTTCCAGAGGAACCGGCTATCTGCAGAACCGCACAACGAATATTAAGAAAACGATAAACTTAGAATTTAAAAGTGAATAAACAAAATTAAGAGCAAAGAGGTTCTTATTCCGAATCTGCGTAGAACTGGTACAAAAAGAGTAGCCAAAAAGCTTAAGAACGAAAAACCCTAATTGAGACGCAGCTCGCTAACAGAAAACGGAAATATTCCTAAATGCTAATTTTGGTGGTGAGAGCTCTGAAAATCGTGTCCCAGCTTCTGCCCTATGCCTCCGCCTTATATACTCCTCCTTAGGCGGTTTCGATCTTTCCATTTCGCCCGAAACCGAATATATCGGGAACTTTCCATATCTGTCGATCCTTCCTTTTCTTACGCGGAAATCTTCTATTTATCTTCAAACTTGCCTTTTATCTTCCGTCTGCGAGTAAACCATCAAAACGTTATCGTATCTTCGGGTTTGATTTCGTTAATATCGCGAGATGGGTTTTTATCGTGTTTTAGGACCTTTCGGGCCGTTTTACGATAAAAACCGTTTTACGACTTTAACGAGACTGTTTCCTGATCCGATGCCGTTTTTTACGATTTTCACGACGTTTTTTATTAAAAACGCGTTTTATGATCTTAACGAAAAATCTCGGATAAATCGTATAGTTTAGGCGATGTTCAGTGTCTTGCTTAACCGTTGCCGTTTTATATGATTTCTTCGAGTTCTTTTCGGGAAAACAGAGTTTTACGGTTTTTATCGTAGAATTCAAACGATAAGTCGGATCGAGACGAAACGAGAGACATATCGGCCGTGGTTCAGAATATGACCGTGTCGAAGGACGTAAGGTTCGAATCGGGTCTGCGGGATATCCGGGAGGTCTCTAGTTCGCCTGCTGGCGAACTAGCCGAGGGGTTCTTAGTTCGCCTGCTGGCGAACTAAGCCAGCTTGGCTTAGTTCGCCAGCAGGTGAACTAGTTGGAAGATTCTAGTTCGCCAGCAGGCGAACTAGTCCGGGACCGTCTAGTTCGCCTGCTGGCGAACTAAGCCAGCTTGGCTTAGTTCGCCAGCAGGCGAACTAGTTGCGACTAGTTCGCGCTTCGTGGCTGTTTCGGTCTTTCGCGGTTTTGTAAAACGATTTCTCGAGTTTTATAAAACGGCTTTTCGAGTTTTATAAAACGATCTTCGAGTTTTATAAAACGGCTTCTCGAGTTTTATAAAACGATCTTCGAGTTTTATAAAACGATCTCGAGTTTTATAAAACGGCTTCTCAAGTTTTATAAAACGATCTTCGAGTTTTATAAAACCATCTTCGAGTTTTATAAAACGAACTTCGAGTTTTATAGAACGGCTTCTCGAGTTTTATAAAACGATCTTCGAGTTTTATAAAACGATCTTCGAGTTTTATAAAACGATCTCGAGTTTTATAAAACGATCTTCGAGTTTTATAAAACGGCTTCTCGAGTTTTATAAAATGATCTTCGAGTTTTATAAAACGGCTTCTCGAGTTTTATAAAACGATCTTCGAGTTTTATAAAACGGCTTCTCGAGTTTTATAAAACGATCTTCGAGTTTTATAAAACGGCTTCTCGAGTTTTATAAAACGATCTTCGAGTTTTATAAAACGACCTTCTAGTTTTATAAAACGGCTTCTTTTTTTATAAAACGACTTCTTGGGTCTTATAAAACTATTCCTTTTATATTTTTGCGGGGAGTTTTGGCTATTGATTCCGTCGTACCGATTTTGACCCCAACAGTTAGCCCCCCAGCTCGTAAGAATCGTGGGGTTCTTGCGAGTGGATTGAGCTTGTTTGGCGAGTTTCGTAGAATTAGGCGGAACTTTAATGGCCAAAAGTCCAAGGGTGAATAGTAAAAATTTTCCTTATAAGTAGATGGAGTAAAATTTTGAATTCTTTACCCCATTTTCTACAACTTATCCAAGAAACGTTTCTCTCTATTTTCTTTGAGGATCTTCAAACATGTTTTCAGGAAGAAGGACTCGTTCCTCAACTAGCTCCAATTCTCGAAATTCTGAGGGAACGAGCTCGCAGCGTCCAGTTTCAGCTCCGAAAGAAGAGTATTTGTCCCCGTTAATCGATTCAACGGACCGTGAGGATTTTTGGGCGTTGGGAGATGAGTCGAGGTCCGCTAGGCCTGGGACTTGGGTTCCAGCTTTGTCGGACGTCGATCAAACTTCCGGACATCCGAGCTCGGCTCTTTTTAACAGTATCGATTACATGCGCGAATTTTGCCGAGTTCCAGAGGCTGTCGAGTTTCGTCTTCCACTTGCCGGGGAGGGCGACAAAGATGCACCCGAGGGTTTCTTCACATGTTACAACATTTTCTTGCAACAATGCCACTTATGGTTTCCGATCCCGGAAATCATTGTTCATTACCTTCACAGGCTGGGGCTATCGATCAGTCAGCTGACTCCCCCTGGTTTAAAGCAACTCGTTGGCCTCTTGACGCTGAGTTATGAGCAGGGAATTACTCTTAACGTCGATCATCTCGAGAGTCTATTGAAGCCCACGAGGCAGTCGCAGAGGATCACTCTATGCCCTCGTGACGAAATTGTTACGGGCTGCTCAACGCTCTCTACTTCTTGGAAGAAAAATTTCTTCTACGTTCGTATTGACAGTGCGTCAGTCGAGGAGGATTGCATTCCGCTTTTTACGACCGTATGGGGTCGGAAAGGTATGTGAATCGAGTTCATACGAATCTTCTTCCTCTTTTTTTTTTTTAAATTCGTTTATGTTTTACCGCAGTGACCAACCCTTTGCCTCCGTATCCCGTGGATCTCCAGAACATCACCACTTCTCTTAAACGTGGTGAAGTTGGCTGGTGCAGTTTTTCTCCGCAACGCGTCCGCCAAACGGTTGCCCTCTTCCGATCTCGACTCTTTGCGGATTCTCCGATTTATGAAGAGGATCCGTTCATCGGGGAGTTTATTCCGTATGTTCCCTCGATGAGGAGTGGCAAGTCAAGCTTTCGAAGAGATAAAAATCCGGTTGTCGAAGATGATGATTCTGCACGTGCGGCTTCTCCTGACAATATCCTCAAGGACTTCCTTGATAGTCAAGCGGGAGAAGGTGTCTGGACGAAAGCGGGCGGATCATCGACCTCCCATTTTCCGAACATCGACCATGATCAAGTACCGGAGTTTATTAGGGGGTCTGAGAAAGCTAAGGAAGTACGTGTGTTTATTTTTTTTTTGAGCAGTTTTATCATTGGATGATATCACTTAATTCTTTTCTTTGGTAGGGTTTCCTTGTCATGAGCCGGGCCCTAGACAGACGTACTGCTGAAGCTCGACTTGCCGAGTTTCGAACGAACATGGCTGAAAAAGAAGTTGCTCGTCTTCGGGCAGAGGTTGAGGCCAACCGAGCCGAAGAAGTGGCTGCAAGGGAGGTTGCTCGCGTGAGGGATGAGTGTGCAGCTAGATCTCGCCGTGCCAAGGAGCTTTCTGACCAAAGGATTCGTCGTGCTCGTCGTGCGGGCAAACGAGAGGTTTCCGAAGAGATGAAGGCTCGTCGTGAGCGATTTGCAACTGGTTGTTCGGATGCCGAAGTTGTTCAACGGGCACACGGTGATTATCGCGAATGTCACGGGATCGTTCATGGGTTATCCCTAACTCAGAATGAAGGGTATTCGTTTGCTAAGGAGTATTCCGTGCGGTGGGGACACTTGGATCAGGAAAGAGATATGCAGCCCGAACTTTTCGATCTTAAGGCGCGCATGTGGGATCAATAGAATCCCATCGTGGTGTCGCCAGATTCGGTCAAAGTTGGACCTGGGATTTCGGATGCGGAAGGTGAAGTCGATCAGTCCGCGTTTGATGACTTCAATGTGTGATCTTAGTTGTTTTTCGATTTTGTTGTTGTTTTTCCGGGACTGGCCGTTGGTGGCTTTGAATCCCTACCGCTGGGCGGTATGTACTTGAATGCTTTCTAATAAGAAAATATTTTCTAAGTATGAAATTCGTGTTTCATTTTAGACGTAGAGGGAAGAATACGAGTTGTCATCT